AATTATTTATTTTATGTATGATTGATAAAGATGTATTATTTTGACTTTTCATTTCTTAAGAATATCCTTAGAAAGCATTCTTTTGATACATGACGTTGGTGTACAAGTGAAAACGACCTTTATGGATGGAAGATGCGTGTCAAAATTTATTGATCGATCGAAAATATTGGATGTGGTTATAAACGAAGGGATCACAATGCTGTCCGTTAAATTTTATTTGGCGATAATTGTCGAGGGGCAAGATCGGATGGTGGTGGTGTTTGAGGTACTTTTTATTGGTTTATCGATGTACGTGTATGTTATATATATATATATAACTTTACTTATTAATCTATCTATTTTTGAATAAAAAAATAGCATTTATTACCTCGTCTAAATATTTTATTAAAAGTTTATCAAGGCACTAGAGCTGTTATTTTTCATGAATTAGAAGAGAATATGGACACAAATGGAAATATCAATGATCCTTCATGTTAGAGGATCACATTATTTTATAGAATGCGAAATTATGGAAAATAACTACTTATATTAGGTGTACTGAAAGAGGAAAGATTTTGAGCACGTTATTTCCATGTATTGTATTTATTTATGAGAATAGAAGAAACACCAATAACAAATTCCATTATTTTTTATAATAATTAATAGAGCATATATTGTCCCATGTTCTTTAATCAATATAAAAAGCTTGAAATTATAACTAGAAATAATATTAATATATAATAATTGCCAAGTGATTAAGTTTGATCATGTTCTTTATAATCACATTGTTGATTTAACTTCGATAAACTGAACTTTAACAAACCGAAGATTACTAAATAAATTTTTTATAACCAAAGATTATGTTTGATTGACCACCGAGGCTTTCTTAGTAAATTGCTTTCGTAATGAATATGATGTATTTTTGATAATACCGAAGTGTTATTTTAATTAAATTTATGCCATTTATTATAACGATAGTAAAACATAGGTCCTAATATGCTACATCCCATTGAATTGTCAATTTATGTATGCCGATAATTTGTATATGATGGAATTATTGAAAAATCGAATTCTTTTGCTCGAAGGACCAAAGTTTCCTTCGTTCGACTTTAATTTTTCTGCAAAGACCAACAGCAACAGGTTTCGTATCAAAGATCAAATAATATTCTTGTATTCTTCAGACGCAATACAGGGATCCGCTGAAAGTCGTGACGACGAAAAAGAAGAAAGTCATACTGTTAAAACTGCTGGAAGTGTTTGGGATGCAGTAAACATCGACACAGTGTTAATAAATTTTTTTATACTCTTTTTTTTTTGCATTATTCATAGAGATCAATTATTTATTTTTCTCAGGGTTTAATACTTGCTAAATACATTGAAAAACAATCGATCATAAGCAATAATGATACTTTAAAAATTGAAGGGAAAAAAATTATAGAACTGGTAAGATTAATATATAATAATTAATATCACCCTCAAAAAATTCGCGTAATAACGATGATAATAAATAATACAAAAAAAAAAGGGATCTGGAAAATCGATTCCATCAATTGCAGCCATAATACTCGGGGCAAGAAGCGTCACGATAACCGATTCGCCGAGCGTTATACCATCGATCTTGAGGATTATGGAGTTGAACAAATTGAAAAGTAAACATGTTCATGTGAGAGCGCTTGATTGGGAACAAAGGTAAAGATTTATAATTAATCTTCTTTTTGATAATGCTAATAATAATGATGCTGCTGCAGAGAAACGTATATAGAGCAATTAAATAACAACGACGACAATGACGACTCCACACCATATGATTATATTTTTGCAGCGGATGTTGTGTGGGTTGATTATTTGATTGAGCCGTTAGTGGAAACAATTGATGGTGCCTATGCCTTTATTGCTTTCTTATCATGCATTATTTATTATTATAAATATAAATCCTTTTTTTTATTTAAGCATTATCCACACGAAACCACACGACCCTCCTCCTCGCGCATCAAACGCGCACAACAAGATCCGACAAGAAATTATTCGACGCGTTAAATAATC